TTCCATTCTAGTTGTTTGACTTCAAAAATAGAAATAGTTCACCAAAGACAATAATTTAAGGTACACTTGCGTCTCTATGTGAATTTGTTTTGTGCGAATTTGCTTATATGCGACAACCTTATTTATACCAGAAATTCACTTTGTGCAAGAAAAATCCAATCTTATATAAGTTGGCCGGCAATGAGCTCTTTGCAGGCTAGCAGAATTCTAGCCTGCCGGAAGCTGGTAGAAAGCAGAAGGAAGGCAGTGAGACTGGGGGGTGGGGGAGCGTCACGTGCATGTATAGTACACGCATGTGACCCAAAGTAGCCTTGAAGGCAGCTCCAGCAGGTAAATGTGGGGGAAGAGGGGGATTGAGGCCCCTGCAGGGAGGGAGCTGGGCAGGGCTGGGGCTGCTGTCCAGCTGGGAGGTGCTTGGGGCCCAGGCCGTAATGTGTGGCTGCAGGGCCCCAGCGGGGAGCAGGATGGGGCCTCTGATGTCTCCTTGGGGGGAGGGGGAGGGGGAGGGCTGGCTCCCTACTGCCACGCACACTTCCAAGGGGTAGGGGCAGACATATGGGCATAGAGGGCCCTGGCCTCAATCCTGGGCCTGGCTCGGCTCCTCTCCCTGCCTGGTCCCAGCGCCTCACACCCTGCTGCCCTGGCCACATGCCTCCTGTGTCACGGGGCTGCGCCCCTCAAACAGCAACAGGCACGGGAGGCACATCCCTAGGGCAGTGCAGGACGAGCAGCTGCCATTCCCTGACGCCCTGCTTCCCTGCTCCAGGTGCCTCTCCAGCTTGCCCCATGCTGCCTTGGCGATGCATCCCCTGTGTGTGCTCCTGCTTGTAGTGCAGGGCTCGCAGCCCCTCTGTGCAGCAGTTATTGTATTGTGTGATTACTGTTTGAATTTGTCATGGTTTGGGGGGGGCAGTAGAGAGAGGCTGGTATGTATTCCTAATAATTGCATGTAATAATGGATTCACTTTACGCAAGGTTTTTTTGGAACGCAGCCCTCGCATAAAGAGAGACCCAAGTGTAGTAGTGGCCATATTCTGGCAAGTGTGCCACAAGTTAAGTCCAGAGCGTGAGAATAATACTAATAATAAGCCCCTGCCATCACCCAGTGCCATGAATTCCATTATTGCTGGGATATGATATGGCTATGCTTAATTTGGTAGCACCTACCCCCACAGCTCTTGTGGGGCCAAACCTTTGAGCCAACACTGACAGCTGATCCATACCCCTTCCCCAAGTGCTGACCTTACTCCTGTTGCCAGTGTCTGGGTTTCACATGCTGGTTGCCTGTGCCATGTGTGTCAGAGATTGACCACCACTGATTTAAGGCATGGAGCAACAGACAAGACTAGGACTGTTCAGTTCAGATAGGAGAAAAGGAAGGATACATTTTAGAGAAATACAGAGTAATGAACGCTGTTGTGTTCTCAACTATTTCTCTCACTGTGTGGTAGGAACAGAGATTAATAAGGAAGGCCCAAGAGTATTGAGAAATGCTGTGCAGTTTTTTATAGACTGTGCACCCTGTAAAGCAGAGGTGGGCAGTTATTTTGGGTGGAGGGTTGGTTAACAAGTTTTGATGAGCTGTTGAGGGCCACAGAGATAGCCCTGCCCCTTGACAGGTGCCCTGACCCTGGTCACCATCTTGGGACTGGAAGTTCCACCACTTAACCCCTGACCTTTGCTACCAGAAGTCCCTCCCCTTGCCCCCATCTTGGAACCAGAAAAAAACAAATTATATACTAAAAATCAAACATTGATAATAACATATTTTAATTTTATTTAAAAAAAATTTTTGTCCTGATCTGTGTGTATTTGTGTGGTGTATATATAGAGGTGATTGCATGATAGCTCAAAGTGAAGTCTTACTCTTGTATATTGTGGAGGGTGTGGGGGTGATATGGGTGGGTGGGTATGGGGTTTG